GAGCCCTTATTAAGACCTGCCAACATATTCATGACCAAGCCTCTGGACTTTTGGAAGACCGTATTGTTCTCAGACGAATCAAGATTCGCTCAATTTTCAGACAGTGGAAGGTTTTGGGTCTGGAGAATGCCTCACCAGGAGTTTTGGCTCAACAGATTGCAGCCAACTGTGAAGCATGGTGGTTTCAGCGTGATGGTTTGGGGAGCTGTTTGGGTTGGTGGGAGATCGAGCTTAGTAGAGTGCGTTGGCAACATAAATTTTGCGAAATACGTCGAAATATTGGAGGAAGGACTCTTGCCATTTTATTCCTCGGGCTTCGTGGACAAGAACACGACGTTGTTCCAGGAAGATGGAGCACCATGTCACACTGCTAGAAACACCCAAAAGTGACAGGAAGCAAATGGTATCCAGAAGTAGCAGGACTAGTTATAGTATATAGTAATATACGTTGGTAGATCCAATTATAGTATGTAGTAAACATGTTAGTAGGAACAGACATAGCATGTAGTACACACTTTAGCAAGAATAGTTATAGCATGTAGTAAACACATTAGGACGAGTTATAGTATGCAGTAAAATACGTTACTAGAAACAGTTATAGCATGTAGTAAACACGTTTTTAGGACCAGTTATAATATGTAGTAAAACACGTTGGTAGGACCAGTTACATCATGTAGTAAACACATTAGGACCAATTATAGTATGCAGTAAAACACATTGGTAGGAACAGTTATAGTATGTAGTAAACACGTTAGTAGGAACAGTTATAGCGTGTTGTAAAGACATGAATTGGGTTAGCTATAGTATGTAATGAACACATTCGTAGGGTCAGCTATAGGATGTATTAAGGACGTTAGTGGGACCAGTTATAGTATGTAGTAAACACATTAGGACTAGTTATAGTATGTAGTAAACACATTAGGACTAGGTATAGTATGTTTGTAAAATAGTAGCAGGATCAGTTATAGTATTTAGTAAAAGACATTGGTAGAACCAGTTATAGCATGTAATAAACACGTTTGTAGAACCAGTTATAATACGTAGTAAAATACGTTGGTAGGACCAGTTACAGCATGTAGTAAACACATTAGTTTGAACAGTTTTAGTATGTAGTAAACACGTTAGTTGGAACAGTTATAGTATGTAGTAAACACGTTAGTTGGAACAGTTATAGCATGTAGTACACACTTTAATAGGGTCAGATATAGCATGTAGTAAAACACGTTGTTAGGATCAGCTATAACATGTAGTAAACACATTAAAAGGATCAGTTATAGTATGTAGTAAACACATTGATAGGCTCAGTAATAGTATGTAGTAAACACATTATCAGGGTCAGTAATAGTATGTAGTAAACACATTATCTTAATGTGTTTACTACATACTATAGCAGACCCTGTTAATGTGTTTACTACATACTATTACTGACCCTTAGGGTCAGTAATAGTATGTAGTAAACACTACTCTATTTTGTAATATACTTAGTTGATTGGATTGGTTAATTTGGAATCGCAGCTTACCCTGCTTTTAAGCCAACGGCTATAGATGTACATAGTAGCAACTTCGTATACCCCAGGATTGAGATTTAAAATCAAGAAGTGTAAAAGTGTGATCAATTCTTGCACATCTATAGCTGTTGGCTGTAGAGCAGTGTAAGTTGTTATTCCAAGCTAACTAAGCCACTCAACTAAAGATATTTAAAAATACACTATTTCGAACCTGATATATTATTACGCTCGTGAAGGTCAGGCCTCTTATATATATATATATATATGTTTGTGAGAATATTTGTTCTGGTCTGGTCAAAGGTCAAAAACATTTACCACGTGATGGTCTGGTTTTTACTTAATTTGTAAGTTATTGAAATAATCTAACATATTGGCTATGCTCTAATGGCAGTTGGTCGATTCTTATAATGACGTAGGTCACCATCCGCGCAATAGTAAAGCACCTAAACTGTTCAAAGTGCTCTGATTCGATTTCATCTACAGATGACGCGAGTCTCTTTGCTGTGGATACCGTTGCTAATGGAAACATACCTAGCTAGGCTTAAAAGAAAGAACTAATTGTTCTGAGATGGTGAATGAAGTTAGTTACTGTGATTTCTCAAACACTAATTTTATTTCACATCCGGTTCTTCACTTCAATTCTTCACTAGATAAACGATCACGAGCTTTTATGTTTTTGTGTTACATTAAAATTTCTTATCCACCTTCAGAATCTTCTGTTGCGTTACATTTTAGACTCTCCAGCCTCCAAACGAGATTTAATAATCAAGCGTTATTTTTACTCTACACAAACGAAACCAAGGACATAAAATATCACTTAGTTAGTACTGTTTATATCAGGCCAAGACTGGGCTACAACATACAGAGTCTTAGTTGAAACTCTGTTTATATCAGGCCAAGACTGGGCTACAACATACAGAGTCTTAGTTGAAACTCTGTTTATATCAGGCCAAGACTGGGCTACAACATACAGAGTCTTAGTTGAAACTCTGTTTACATCAGGCCAAGACTGGGCTACAACATACAGAGCCTCAGTTTAAACTGTTAATATCAGATCAAGACTGGGTTACAACATACAGAGCCTTACTTGAAACTGTTTATATTAGGCGAGACTGGGCTAAAACATACAGAGCCTTAGTTGAAACTATTTATATCAGGACGAGACTGGGCTACAACATACAGAGCCTTAGTTGAAACTGTTTATATCAGGCCAAGACTGGGTTATAACATACAGAGCCTTAGTTGAAACTGTTTACATCAGGCCAAGACTGCGTTACAACATACAAAGCCTTAGTTGAAACTGTTTACATCAGACCAAGACTGCGTTACAACATACAGAGTCCTGGTTGAAACTGTTTTTATCAGGCCACTGGATCACAATGTTTTTGATGAAACTACGGAATAGTCTACTGTTTAAAATATATTATATTCCAAATAACATCAGAAATTATATTCTTCCTGATCATCAATAATGTACCTTTATTTATCAAATTGTATATTTAGTCATTAAGCCAACCATACATTATAATAACACTAAATGATGAGATTAGTATACTCGAACTTAAAAAGTAAATGATAAATATTTGGTTTAGAAAACGTAATTTGCTGCTATGTTTGTGAATCTTTTAACTAGGGGGTTTCAGAAGGTGAAACTTTTATTGGACAACTTCGTTGAATGTTACTAAAAACAGTTAATTTTTTATATTAATTATTTCTGTATTTGAAAACGACTGATGTCATCTTTCTTATTTCTGTTTCCTCCCTCCTCTGTACCTCCTGTTTCTACTTATGTTCACCAGCAATCTGGACCTGCTGGCTTCTTTTCAAGTTTCTTTTAAGATGTATACTATTGTGCGTGCCTGCGTAGGTTTACAATTCTTTTCTTTTATTTCCATGTGACAGTTGTTTTTCATAAATTGAAGAGTGAATGCTTTTATAAAATAAAAACCAGTAATGTGCCTTCTGTTTTTGTTTTTGTTTGTTTGTTTGGCAAACTGACATCTGCACCCTTGTTATAATTTCTCTTCTATCCAAAGCATGTGTTTTATATTTATGTGGCACAAAACAAACTCATTTTCTTCTGCCCTTCCTTCCATTGATGTCATTCACCCTTCCTTCTATTGATGTCATTAACCCTTCCTTCTATTGATGTCATTAACACAAACTGAGGGAACCTCGTCTGAAGGGACCTTCACATGAACAACGAAGAGTCAGCAGAAAAACGGACGAAAATTCTTCAAGAAAGACGAGAACTTGCTGTCTGTATCGCCATCTTAAAGGTAAGAGTTAGCAGCTCAGCCATCTTAAAGGTAAGAGTTAGCAGCTCAGATTTTGAGTTTCAGTTCCACGAGCAGAATCAAATAAGTAATGTATTTTAAATCATAATTCGGTTATTTAATAAAATCACTGCTTAAAGTCGATTCGACGTTCCGCTTAACGTCACAACTGTTGCTTTTGAATTTGGCCAGCGTCACACTTCAGCAACACTTACTTTGCATGTTCGGCTACCTTTATACCGAGGGCTGTTTACACTTTATAGGAACGGTTTGTATGATATGTTTGAATGTATAGTAGAGGGCGCAATACTTCGATGAGGGGACTGAGTCTTCAGGGTTTTTCATGAAAGCGGAAGAAGTGACATCACCGACTCTTTGCTAACGAATAGTGGGATTGACCCTTACATTGTAACGCCCCCATGGCTGTAAGGGGAGCGTGTTCGGTGATGAGATTTGAATACGTAACTCGCTGACTGCCCCGCCCATCAGGCCATGCCAGGCCCTAAATAGGTTATGTATAGAAAACTGAATCAATAAACGGAATGTCGTTAGACCTACGTCAATACTTGCTCTGTTGCTTTTTGAGTAACTCCACTTAGGCCCCAAAATAAAAGGTGACAAATTAAAACAATTAACTTATTTATTTCTTTTCCAAAAAAGTTATATAATGAGAGGCATTGTTTTGGTGTTTACTATAGAACTGCACTTCCGCTCGTAATGGAACATCTCTCTCTTTCTTCACTTATACTCAGGTGTGCATAAACGTTTTACCTGATACCCTTATTTTAAACACTGGAGGGCATTTTTAATCATTCGGCAGAGATGCTCATAAAGTTGTCCAGCGTGTATTGTGATCGCTAAGGATAGTGTTTCTTATAATTTGCCATCACAAAACGACATTATGTTGAAAAATTTCCACGAAACTTGTGAATGAGAAGAAGGAGTTTAATACAGATCATAGCTGCTGCCATCTATTGTCAGTTATTATACATACTAACAACACATGGTTTAACTTTAATCATGTGGCTTAATCATAGGAAAGTATTTCCAGTTATCTAAATACACTTAATTACGTGACACTGTACTTGAAGTCCTTTTGCGTGCTCTAGAATTCAGCCACGTGGCTTAACCACGTTTGAAGTATTTCTTACCATTTTAATATATTAATCACATGACTTAAATATGTTTGAAGTCTTTGTGGTCGTTTTAGTATCTTTAATGTCCTCCGGTGGGACAGCGGTAAGTCTTCGGATTTACAATGCTAAAATCAGGGGTTCGGTTTCCCTCGGTGGATACAGCAGATAGCCCGATGTGGCTTTGCTGTAAGGAAACACACATACAGTATCTTTAGTTACATAGTATCGTATTTCGGGTCTTTCCGCTCACATGTCTTAACAATTTGAAATCCTTCTGTTCACTCTGTGATTTCTAATCATCTGATTTATCTACTAAAACGCCTTTTAGGCCGCATTAATATGTTTATTAATATGTTAATATGTTTAGTGATGCATATTTATTCTTGTGTTTTATCTGAACTGTAAAACAATTATTGGTAACTTAAGAGAAAGCTTATTAATCCAACTGAATAAATATCAATTGAGCAACTGTAAAATTAGATAACTATTATTTAATTTTCAAACGTATTGTAGTAATTCCCTTGCTGTATTTAAGGTCATTCATACAGCACTGAGTTTAGAACATTTAGGAATATAAACACTTCTTTTTGGGGGGGGGGGGAGTGGATAGGTTATTCTGTCGGAGGTGTACGAAAAAAGTACTCTGTTTTACAGACATAGATGTTATAAGACATTAACCAGTAAAAAATAGTAATAATAAAATGAAATAAAAAGAAAATCTATGGTTCATCCATAATGTCTTCCACGTGACTTGAGTCTGCGCAGACAGCTGAAATATCTTTATGTTGGTTGCTGTCGTGACGGGTGTTATAGCGAAGGGTTTTAACAAACAATAAACATTCGGATAGTGCAATAAGCCTAAATGCTTTCATTACGCCGTACGGTCTGTGTGTGTATCCAAAGTCCTTTCATTTACGTTGTACGATCTGTGTGTGTATCCAAAGTCCTTTCATTTACGTTGTACGATCTGTGTGTGTTTATCCAAAGTCCTTTCATT